AAAAAATTTGAAAATTTTTCTTGAATTTGATACATGGGCGCAGTAATTTGATGGCTTATGATGTTACGCACTGTACACAAAAAAAATTTATACGTGTATTGTTGTACAAGGAACCCCTATTATTATTATTTTTTACATGACAAAATATGAATGTTGTGGTTTGGCATGTGTTATTTATTGACAATGAGAGGTACACAATTTTTTATTTTTATGTACTATTTTTTATTGTTTTATATAAATGTATTGATGTGTGTCTTTCATTATTTTATATAAAATGCATATTGTTGAAATCAAAGATACAGAGCAGAAAATTGTAGTGTCTCTTTAGGTATTATTATAGAAATTCTTGTCAAGATAATAACAAGCAATTGTTATCATTTTACTTTTCATGTAATCATTATTAATATTAATATAAATATATAAGAAAATGTCAAGGCAACATGAATGTTGCAAACAATATAATTTACAAATGTCAAGACACACATGCTACCTTGAACACTTACATTCATTATATCATGTTTCTTGTGTGCACAAGGCTAATCTGACCACAGTGCCTTCAATGATACAATGATGCAATCAAATTTCAGGTGAAGGGCCCAAGGCCTGCAGTTTATTGAGACTTTATCATTATCAAGGATATCCTAAACACCTTCCCTCACAGCACCTGAGCTGGCATTACCCAGATGAGCATGTTGATGTATTGCCTGAAAAGTTGCCTACAACAATCCTAGCTCTAGGATAAAAATGGCCCTGCAGCCAGTAAGATGTAACTTTGTAGCATCATGTAAACATATAGATCTATCAAACAATGAATATCTGCAACTTGTTTCAAGCTACACGTAGGAATTTACAATTATTATTATTGAAATCATACTTGTGCTTTGATGTTTAAAGGAAAGTTGTAAAATAGTTTTTGTTTTATATGAATTAATTATTTTTCTAAATTTTCTGTTTTTTTTCTTTGGCACTAACCAATTTATAATTTTGGATAGGGGACATGAGCTTTTGCCCTGTCCTATAGATCATATGATTATATATATCTTTGGCCAAATGAATACAAAGTGGAATCTTTTAATGGACCAACAAGAGGAATGTCATAAAATTGGTAGGACCTTTTGCTGAATTCAATTTATTGAAAACCAAGAAAGAGGTATTTTTGAAGAAATTAAAGCTTTATCTATTTTGGTATTAACACCTCCTCCTTTTGATTACAAAAGACAAAAATATCTTTACCAAATATTTGTCCATTTGTGTGTAAACATATAGATCTATCAAACAATGAATATCTGCAACTTGTTTCAAGCTACACGTAGGAATTTACAATTATTATTATTGAAATCATACTTGTGCTTTGATGTTTAAAGGAAAGTTGTAAAATAGTTTTTGTTTTATATGAATTAATTATTTTTCTAAATTTTCTGTTTTTTTTCTTTGGCACTAACCAATTTATAATTTTGGATAGGGGACATGAGCTTTTGCCCTGTCCTATAGATCATATGATTATATATATCTTTGGCCAAATGAATACAAAGTGGAATCTTTTAATGGACCAACAAGAGGAATGTCATAAAATTGGTAGGACCTTTTGCTGAATTCAATTTATTGAAAACCAAGAAAGAGGTATTTTTGAAGAAATTAAAGCTTTATCTATTTTAGTATTAACACCTCCTCCTTTGGATTACAAAAGACAAAAATATCTTTACCAAATATTTGTCCATTTGTGAAAGATGAATACAAAGATATTACTTGTCCAAGACCATTCTATACTGGCAACAAATAAAATATTCAGAACAAAATCACCTTCATTATTTCATCACTTCCTTGCTGTTATCAAGTTTAATAAGTTAATCTTTTAACAAATATTGTTAGCTATTTTCCACTTTTAAAGTAAAAAAGTACTAAAATAATTTATATACTTAATACACCCTTATAAAAAGGATATAAGTATATTAAAAGAATATATAAAAAAAAGGAACAAACAAGAAAATCATGACAAACATCATAAATGAACAACAAAATGAAATAGAAACACTAAAAAAGCAATTAGAAAACAAAGAAGATGATTTTAAACTAAGAATTTGAAATGCTATTGACAATGTTAAGGAAAATGAAAGTCCAGAAATTGCTGGAACTTTAATGACCTTAGAAAACATTTTTGACCTAAGGATGGTTGAGTAAAGATTCAAAAAGAAAATGGAGTTGAGAAAGTTATTTTTGGCAACAATTTCACTCTTGAAAATGTGGTTAAAGGTTTTAGTGAATGAACATTACTTAATTGTGATTCTTATAGTTATATTTATCAAAAAAATGAAAAATTAAAAGAAAAGAATGCTCTTTTAGAAAAAAAAGTTGCTGAATTAACTCCTTTTAAAGAACAAGTTGAAAATTTAAAAGAAAATATGGCTAAAACTCTCAATACTTGCCTTAAGGAAGAGCAACAAGAAGAAAAAAATGATTGAGATTATTGGCACAAAGAAGATTTAAAAGGGTTAATAAATGAAAATGAAGATAAACCAGTTGAAGTTGCTATTGAAGTTATTGAAAAATGGGAAAAGGATGCTAAAGACTTTTCTGGGCATTAGATACAGCTGAAGAATGAAAAAATTGACAAAAAGGTCTTTTGAATGATGAAATCAAAGAAAAATCACTAATGCTCCAAAAGTCTGATAAAATGCTTGAAGAGGAAATAACAAAGAATGCAAAATTGCAAGAAGAATTAGCCCAAAAATTAGAAATGTTAAAAAAGGATGATCAGAGATTTGAGGATGAAGCAAAAGAAAGAGAAGAATTAAAAACACAACTATATTTGGAAAGAAGTGATTGTGGAAGATTAAAGACTAGATATACTTGTGATTGCAAAGAAGAGGAAAATGAAAGAACTTTCTCTTTTACCTCATCAAAATGGAGGAATGGTGCTTTTTTATGAACAGCAAATAAATGGCTTGCAAGAAAAGGAAAGACAGTTAGAAGAGGAAGTAGACACACACTTGGAAGCCTTAGAAGTGGCTGAATATTGGCATAAAAGACAGAAACAGGAACTATTAGATCGAATTAAGCAACTAGAAGAAGAAAACAAACAACTAAAAGAA